GCAAATGCTGCTGAAGTAAACTGGGTGCCGTTGTCCGTGATCAGTGTCTGCGGATTTCCGAACTGTGCGAAGACTTTTGATAAAACTTTGATTGTTGCCGACGTGGTGATCGAATTCATCTGGATGATCTCGGGCCATTTAGAGAATGCATCCACGATGACGAGGTAAAACTTGCCGTCGAGGGGTCCTGCGATGTCGGCATGCACTCGAGCCCACGGAGTGAGTGGCTTCGGCCAGGATTGGAGCTCGGTCTTCACAGGATTTTTGGCGTGTTGTGCACATTTGGTGCAGTTTCTTACGAGCTCCTCTATATCTGCTTCCATCGACGGCCAATACACATAGCTGCGAGCCAGCATCTTCATCCTTGTTTGACCTGGATGAGCTTTGTGGAGCACTCGTAGGACGCGACGTTGGAGCGACTTCGGAATTACGAGACGGTTTGACGTGAGCAGACATGAGCCGATGGTTGATAGCGATTCTCGTCCATTGTAGTATGGCCAGAAAAGTGAGTCCCGGTTTGGCCATTTTCCAGATCGTATGTAACCGATCACTTGAGTCAGGGTATGATCAGCAGTAGTGGCCGCTTGGACGGAGCCGAATGAGACCGGTAGTTCACGGCAGCTGCCCATTACTTGGCGCAGAGATCAGCGTCAACTGAAGCAATAACTGGTTCCGGCGAGTGGAGCCAATTAGTCGTGAAAGGGCGTCCGCTTGTCCAAACTCGCTCGTCTTGACGTACAGAATGCTGAAATTGTAGTTCAACAGCGTAGTAGCCCATCGTTGTAGGCGATTGGCCGTGTAGACGGGAAGTCCTTTTCGCTTCCCGAAAATGGAGATGAGCGGTTTGTGGTCCGTCCTCAGCGTGAAGTGGCGTCCATGTATGAATCGATGAAATTTTGAACTGCGAAAACGGTAGCCAGGGCTTCCTTCTCAATCTGGCTATACTTCTTCTTTGTTGGCGTCAAAGCACGACTAGCATGATAGACAGCTTTTTTGCGTCCGTCGGGGAATCTTTGTGAGCGAACAGCTCCGATTCCGTAGTTGGAAGCGTCTGCTGCGACGATAAGCGGCAGAGTCGGGTCGTAGTGCGCAAGAAGAAGGTCGGGTTTGAGAGTCTTCTTGATCCGATCGAAACAGGATTGACATTCCGGTGACCATGTGAAGGCGGCATCCTTCTTGGTGAGTGCGTCCAGTGGAGCGCGCAGATTGTGCAGTTCACTAACAGATGTTCCGTAGAAGTTGACCACTCCGAGGAAGGCTCTCACTTGACTGACATCTTTGGGTATCGGCATCCTCTGGATTGCTTCGATTTTGCTCGCATCTTTTCGTCGTCCCTCGGCATCGATTATGAAGCCAAGATAGCGAGTTTCAGTGTGCAAAAGTGAGCACTTTTCCAAGCGTAGGCGGAATCCGAAGTCCTGGATTCGCCTAAAAACTGCCTGTAGGCGAGAGTTGTGCTCCTCTATCGTCTTCCCAGTGACAAGGATATCGTTGAGGTACGCGGCAGTACCATCCAATCCTGCAGTCAGGGTGTCCATTTGCTGTTGAAAAATTGCCGGAGCCGCTTTCACTCCAAAATGTAAGCAATTGAGGCGATATAGGCCGCGGTGTGTGTTGATGGTGAGTAGTTGTCGCGATTCCTCGTCCACTTCTATCTGCAAATACGCTCCAGCTAAGTCTAGTTGGGAAAAGTACCTTCCTCCGTTGAGCTTAGCGAAGATATAGTCTGGAGCCGGAAGCGGGTGCTGGTGGTGCTCGAGTGCGTCGTTCAGGCTCGTAGAAAAGTCCGCGCAAAGACGGATCGATCCATTCTTCTTCTAAACGACGACCACCGGCGCTGCCCAGTTGGAGTATTCCACCGGCGTCAGGACCTTTCCAGCTACCAGGCGATCGATTTCTTGGCTGATCCTTGGCTGAACAGCGTATGGCACCGGACGAGCTTTCCGGAAGACAGGAGTGGCGTCCGGCTTGAGCTTGAGCGAAGCTTTTGTTTTTGTGCAGCACCCCAGTCCTGGGGCGAATACAGCAGGGAACTGTTTCCGGAGTCGTGTGGTAAGGGACGACCGTACAGTAACCAGAGTAGAGTCGGACATGGCACTAAACCTAATACTTCCAATGAGGCGATCGAAGA